ACATACCCTGGAGTAATGAATTCTCCCATGTTAAGGAGAAAGAGTAAATGATAATAAAGAACCTATCTCCAGACTCTGAACCTAAGGGTTAACCCTTTCCATGAGAGATATAATAAATTGATATAAACAGTCCTTTCCTAGCTCCGGAGAAATTAAATAACTGTCTGATATTGTAGAGATACTTGAGGTATGATTAATATAGGGTTACGATATAGATGGGTTTTATATGAGAATCTGAACGGTATATAATTCGAAATAACTTCTGCTAGGATTCCTTTTCCTCGGGACAGGCCTATAAAGATGTCTAAATGATTGTTTTCTCTCTTTGTCCGTCAATGTGCAGATCTATATTTTATTTGTGATTGATTTTATCTTTTATTTATATGTAATGTAATAGTTTTTTTACTGTATTTAGAATAAACACTGATTTGGATACTGTCTTCGTTTCTTTGTGTGAAGAGTGTATTTGCTCTGTTCTACTCTACACAAAGATGAGCTCGAGGTATATTTACTTGATTAGACTATGTACATCTCTATGTTTGGAATTTCTTGTAAATAACCAAACACATATTGTTATACTTGTGCGCAAAATCAAAACTAGAGGAGCTACGTGGTTACAAAGTCTTATCAGTAATTCTGCACAGATTTAACCTTCTTTCCTTTAGCTCCCTGCATGTTATATAATCTGGCGTTTTACAAATACTATTATAATTGGACCTGACTAGATAATCATTAGCTGAAGAAATATATCTAGGGGTTGGGATATAAATCTCGCAACCTCCCCAGGTTGCAAAAATAGAATTGCAAATATTTTGCAAAAATTAAAGGGACAGTAAGCGTAAATACAAGTGACCCTCCATGCAAAGATTGCAATGCCCGATTTACAACAGTACCCTTGAAACCTTAATCTGGTCAAAATGTGGAAGATACCGTCGTTTTTCGGACTCGATAAGTTCTTTGAATTTCCCCAATTGTCTCTTATAAGCAAGAAATGCGCAAATCTCTTTCACAGAGAGAGACAGCAAATTAAGGAAACTGTTTAAAGGAACAAAAACATGCATATCTTTTTAATACTTGATCAAACCCTTTCAAGGGTACCGTTGTTAATCGGGCATCACCATCTTTGCATGGAGGATCACTTGAAATTACGCTTACAGTCCCTTTAAACTGATCTTCATTGAGGGAAATTTTAATTTAAAGTTGATTTATCAAAACTATTTAACCACTGTTTTAACTTTTGCTATACATAAACTACAGTTAGAATGGTAGAAAAGCTTTTTTAAAAGTGAAACAACCTTGAATGTTTAAAACACTGCAAACTATATAAATACAAATGTATAAATGAATACGACATTACTGGTCCAACTTTGTGAACTAATAACTCCTCTAGTTTTGATTCTATGTGTAAGTATGACAATATCAAATTTATCCGGTAATATATCCGGTCATATATCCGGTAATATATCCGGTAATATATCCGGTAATATATCCGGTAATATATCCGGTAAAATATCCGGTAATATATCAGAAATATATAAGAAATATATCAGAAATTAAAAACATTTGTCTTATTCTCAATACGAGTTATGATTGAAAACATCTGATATTTCAATCTGAAGTACAATTTACTTTAGTTTGACGTGAAAACCCAAATCAAAATCATGCATATATTGCCCATCTTTAACTATGACTTGAGTTTACTTAGTTCTGATATTTGTTTAAACCTAACTCCGGGTTCATGTTTACACTTACCAGGGTCTGAAGTATCTACTCTAGGTACAACTTGAGACCAAGTACCTACTCTGGGTAGGGTTAGATACCTACAAGCTACCTGCAATACATGGTTACCCACATAGGATGAAACTATAAACCTGAATTTACGATTTTAAGGTTGAATTAAGTCTACTCCCTTGTAATTAGTCTTTTAATAGTTTATTTAATAATTTGGCAAAGAAAAATAACAAGTTTACAATTGCACGGGATGGTGAATATAAGGAAAAATACAAAAAAAATATTCTGTTTTAAAATTATTTAACAGGTTGTTAACAACTGCTAATCATTTAACAGGTTGATAACAACTGCTAATCATTGTCACTCAGTTCTCATGTTTATTGGAACTCACCATATTTTTAAAGATACCTTGAGGTTTGATGATAATATGCATAATTATATGCAAATATAATCTAAGGATACCATGATATATTTTCTTCTCCCAACCTTAAACTATCATATTATAGAACTATTATACTTTTTACTATAATCATATATTTCTTACTGATATATCTCCTTCCGCAGTATTAAAGGGACTGTAAGCGTAATATCTAGTGACCCTGTATCACAACGGTAGACTTTGAAATCTTTATCTGATCAATAATTCATAAGAAATTGTCGTTCTTCTAGCTTCTCTTAACATTACGTTGACAATATCTTCAATAGCTATCTTTGATAATAGCTATATAGCTACATACCTATATATATATGTATGTATATTACTATCATTTCAAATCATAATTCGAAACATATTTAAGAATTATGAAATAACTAAATGTTGTTTAACTAAATTCATATTCTACAAGAATCAAATTACATTTCAAATTTTTAAACCAACATTTTTAAAACAATTTTTGTTTTCAATCTTTTCAATAAAAATAACTCTCTAATTCTATTAATTTATAACTTCACTACCCACCTTTTCTCCGCTTTCTACTAAATAGTTTTAAAATTTATTTATAAAAGTGTTGAGTCTTTTACGATCCTAATTCTCTTTATCATGTCTGTAAAGGGTTTCTTGAAACCCATGGTCCGCGGTTATTGAAAGTCATTCTCAACCTTTCGCGAGAATTTGAAAAATGTTTATTTAGATTTTCGCGAATTGTCATCATTTGCTTTTTACAAAGTAAATTGTTTATTTGTTTTGATGTTCAGGAGTTTTTGCAGCAAATACTTTAAAACTCAGCACATTGAGTTATAAAAGTACATCTTTATAAATAAAGTAGTAATCGTCTAGCGTACCCAGTATGTTGTTGTCCAAGCACCTTTTCTGCAACAAAAGTAGGCAGGCTAGTCCAAGGTGATACTGGTACTTCATTGTGTTGTACATAACAAAATCGAGAGAGTACCATACACGCAATCGCGTTGTACATAACAAAATGGTGTGAGTACCATACACGTTATCGCTTTGTACATAACAAAATGGTGAGAGTACTACACACATCATCGCTCTATAGTTGAACTCTATGTTGAAGTATGCTAATGAGTGGATATTTGCCTCCGGAACCATAATCTTCATGTTAATCCCTACTCCAGGTCTAGCACACACTAGGAATATGATTGGCATGTGTCAGTTCTAGGGTACACCCGGAGCTAAAGGCGGCATTACACAGTGCCTTATTGTTTATATTATCAGGAGACCCATTGTACAGTTCTAGGCAGATTTATTCATCAATCCATTCTAATACTTCAGCTAAAATCAGGGTTCAGTCAACATACCTTGGACATAGGTTCATCCCCTCTTATACAGGATCCTCTATACAGGATCCCTTATACAGGATCCTTTATGGAAGATCCTTTATATAGGATCATTCTTTATACAAGATCCTATATACAAGATCCTTTATACAAGATCCTTTATACAGGATCTTTTATACATATCTTTTATCACATCCATTCATATCTTTTATCACATACATCCATATCCTTTATCCTATCCATCCATATCCTTTATCACATCCATCCATATCCTTTATCACATCCATCCATATCCTTTATCCTATCCATATCTGTTATCACATCCATCCATATCCTTTATTCTATCCATCCATATCTTTTATCACATCCATCCATATCCTTTATCACATCCATCCATATCTTTTATCACATCCATCCATATATCACATCCATCCATATCCTTTATCACATCAATTCATATCTTTTATCACATCCATCCATATCCTTTATCACATCCATTGATATCCTTTATTACATCCATCCATATCCTTTATCCTATCCATCCATATCCTTTATCACATTCATTCATATTCTTTATCACATCCATCCATATCCTTTATCACTTCTATTCATATCCTTTATAATAACAAATATCCATATCCTTTATCACATCCATATCCTTTATCTCATCCATCCATATCCTTTATCACATTCATCCATATTTTTTATCACATCCATCCATATCCTTTATCACATCCATCCATATCCTTTATGACATCCATCCATATCCTTTATCACATCCATTCATATCCTTTATCCTATCGATCCATATGATCGTACTTAGCCATCATTACCACAAATACCACTACACTATTGCCTAAAATACATTTCACACTTATAAACAATAAACATACTTCATACATGAGCATTTTCTCCATATACTACTTTTAATATGCAATATGCATGCATTTCCTTGCAAAGATATCACTAAGATCGCATAATTTCATATTTTACAAGATCAAACTTCCATTATATACGTAGGAGTTTTACTGATCGAATTAAGCGTTGCGATTTTGCTATTTTCCAAAAGCATGAAAAAATTCTGAAATTCATCTACAGTAATTTTACTTTATTTTATAGTCCCAAACAAAAACACCACAAATCACAACAAACACACCCCATCGCTAACAAGAAATCACATACCACAGCTTACAACAAACACACAACACAGTTTACAACACAGCTCACAACACATATCACAACATACAACAAACAAAACACCAAAACATAAACTAACACACATCACAGCTTACAACAAACACACACCACAGCTTAAAACAAACACACACCACAGCTTACAATCAGTACACACCACTGCTAACAATTTAAACCATCATAGCCCACATGAAACACACAACAGCCTTATTAAAAGTGAAATAAACTAAAATATCCATCTATCTCTTTCTGTTTAAGTAATTAAATTTGCCGTGAAAGCTTAATATTCTCCCAGCTCTGTTTCTCTACTCTGCTTTACTAAGAATAATTAGGTTCAATTAAATTTAGAATTCTTGTATTTCTTGCAATTCAGATTTATATACAGATAATGTACAAGGTTTAATGGTTTGTGGAACAGAATGAATACGACGCTATCTGATTACAGGGCGCTGAGGGTTCAGGTTGCAAATGTTCATTAAATCTCTCCGCTTTTAGAACAGAGATATAAGCGCTGATAGGAACACTATGTTTAGAACTGTAAACCTAGAGAACTGAGTTGAACCCGAACTAAGAGCACTTGCTGTAATAGTTATATCCACTGATTTATCCATCCTCCGAGGATGATAGATGAGGTTCTCATCCTTAAAGTATGTATCCTCGGCGGTTTGATGGAAGGAACGGGTATGAATATAGTTCTCCTCTTCTCCGGGTACCCTGGAGTCCCAGTATTTACTCCAGAATGCTGCTGGAGTAGGGATCTGTCGGGGTTTGGGAGTTGGAGAGGTTTCCTCCGTTTTTCTATTCTCCGCAACCCTAAAGATCATTTTCATATTATGAGAGGCACACCAGCCTCCGACCCTTCGATGAATATCCTTGGTATTGGAGGTAGAGATGAAGTAGTAATCCCTGCCTGGCCTGAACTCCAGCCCTCCTGGGGTGGGGGTGAAGCTCCTGAACGTAATGGTGAAGTACATAAAGGTTTGCGGCTGATTACACACAGCAACTATCCTAGGTCTAGGACTCGTGACACGACATGAGTCAAATTCATCCTTCTCCACACTGTAGATGATATGCTGCTCTGTGACCGGTGTGCCCGGTTTGTACACCGGGCAGATGAGGTTAACCTGGTCATATTCGGTTGGTAGGTTTCCCTCGTTGACTAGTACAGTTCTAGGTACAGGGGAATCTCCTGCTGTTGTTATATTCCAGTAAATATTTCTAACTTTACTTCCTTTAGCTCCACAGAGTGTGAGAGCTAGTAATATCACAGGGAGCATACTGTGTGTAGGTCTACTCTACGCGATGGTCAAAACAAGACTGAAGAAGGAATGCGGGAGAGGGTGCCTGCTATTCCCACCCCCNCCCAGACTTGTACAGTCTTGTACTTTTCAAGATACTTAAAATCCTATCTTTACGATAATTTTCAAATTTCAACTTAATTTCTATTTGATTATCTTATTTTCTATTTTAAAAATACACACAAATTCAGTTTTATAAAATAAATCTAAGAAAAATAAATCTAAGAAAAAGAAATCTAAAATTAAAACGGAAAATATTTCATCCCAATTCTGTTTCTGTTCTAAAATGTTATTTTTTATCTAATCATGCGGCCTGGTTGGGATGGGTTACCGCTAATCTAACTCTGCGCCCGTGTTTAGATTGGGTTTTGTGAGAGCCCCCGACAATCTGACCCTCTGGGGTCCAACCCACTTCAGGACCAAGAAATATTTTGCCAAAAAGTCAAAATTGGATCCTTCAGAACCCCCGGGGTTCAACTTGAGAACATTAAGGACAGCGACACATCTCGGAACTGACCAGGGGAGGGGGGTAAAAGGAAATTAAGAAGAGGAGGGGGGGGGAGGTAGCAAGAAACTGATAGTTTTCACTAAAAATATGGTTAAAATTCAACTAAAAGTTTATTAATAATATGGAATATGCTGTAAAAAAAAGCATAAAAACAATAGACAATTAAAGACACGATTTTGAATAAATAGAATACTTACTTGAATCAAGAAATTAAGAAATAGATAAGTATAAGCATCTATACATCAGAACTTATTAAACTTTAAAATTAAATTACATACAGTAAGCACCAGAAAACTGTGGAATAGGAAAACAATATTAAAGCAAAAAATTAGCTGTATTTGTTGATGCTGTAACATAGCAAATGTTTTACTAGTTACTTATTAAATAATTCATTAGATATTTTATTTAGCAAAATGAGTCTGTTTACACTGCACAATTACCATGGTTCATGTACATTACTTTAGTCTAAAAGCCGTCTTTTTATTCCAGAGTTTTCTGGTTTTCACTGTAAGTTAAGGTTCGTCATGTTAAATTGACGACGTCTAATCAAACTGATTAATGACAATTTAAGTTTAGAAAAGATTTACTATGAATACTTGCATCACACCCAGGGGCGTATGCAGGAAAGGGGGCTATGGGTGCTTTGATCCTGCATGTACAAGAGTAAACTAAGATTAAGCCCCCCCACCCTGACAAATTCATGTATACGCCCCTGATCAATCTTTCAATATGTACCTCAAAAAGATATTTGTAAAAGATAAAGATTTACTCTAACTATTCAATAAAATGCTTAATGAAGCTTAGCTTTAATTAAACCTCAGACTTAATTCAGTTCTTCAATATCATTCCTCAACACGGAATATCTTTAGGTTGAAAACTCAATCTCAATGCTAATTCTTTCAGCACAGGATTTATTTACAGGGGTATCTTTCAATCTTCATTCCAACCCTTTAATCCTAAACATAGATTCTTAGGTCACTTAACCCTTCCCTAAACCGATCCCACTCACTCCCTATTCCAACCTTATATAACCTCAATCCTTTTTTCTTTTTTCTCTACACCCCTTTTCCTACACTTTTACCCACTTTGGCCCCTTTCTCGTTGCTCATCTCCTTTTTTAATTCTTTCATTCACCCTTTTCCTTCTCTTTTACCCCCTTTCTTCCCCTTTTTCCTCTTTTACCCCCTTTCTTCCCCATTTTTTCCTCTCTGTCCCCCTTTCTTCCCCGTTTCTTCCTCTTTTAACCCCTTTCTTCCCCTTTTCTTCCACTTTTTTCTTCCTCTTTTACCCTTTTTACTTCCCTTTTATCCCTCCCCGTTATTATTTTCTTGAGTTTGCTATTAACTGATATTACAGTGAACCCATAAAGTGCCCTGGTAGCCTATAAACCCTGTTTTCTGCTTGTATAAAACGGTTTTGCAGTTGTGTCCGTCTGCATATTTTATCTTGTCCAATGTGCACACAGACATAGTCCAGTCTATTATAGTTTGCAGTTGTGTCCGCCTGCATATTTTATCTTGTCCAATGTGAACACAAACATAGTCCAGTCTTTAATTTGAAGTTGTGTCCGTCTAATATACACACAGACATAGTCCAGTCTAAAGTTTGCAGTTGTGTCTGTCTGTGTGTATTTTATCTTGTCCTGTATAGTAACAGACATATTCTAGTCTATTGTTTGCGGTTGTGTCCGTCTCATTTGCACTCAGACATAATCCAGTCTATAGTTCGCAGTTGTGTCTGTCTGCATATTTTATCTTGTCCAATGTGCACACAGACATAGTCCAGTCTATAGTTTGCAGTTGTGTCAGTCTGCATATTTCATTTAGTCTAATGTGCACAAAGACATAGTCCAGTTTATAGTTTAAAACCAAACAGCCTGTATTTATAGATAAAAATGGCAAAACTCAATTTAAAAAAAAACCAGAATTAAGCGACAGGATTTGCGTTGCATGCCTTAGCCCTCATACATTTTTTGAAAATGTTGTCAAAGCGTTATACAGTTTACAAACATCACAACGTTATTCCAGGTTTAAACTGTTTTCAAATGAATCAACTGTTCTTAAAAAGATAAACCGTTATAAATCTAAATTTTTTCTTTGGTTAAAGCTAGTATCAAAGGTTTAACCTGTTATCAAAGCGTTATTCTTGTATCAAAGATGTAAAGGTTTAAAACATTGCAAAAGATTAAGTTGCTATTAAAGGTCTAAACCGGTAAGAAAAGTTTAAAACAGTATCAAAGGTTTAAACTTATATTAAAGGTTTAAACCGCTGTCAAAGGTTTAAGCTTTTATCAAAGGTTTAAGCTTTTATCAAAGGTTTAAACTTGAATCAAAGGTTTAGATCATTGTCAAAGGTTTAAACCATTGTCACATTGTAAGTGAAAATAAAAGCATTATCAAGGTTTAAATTACTATCAATTGTTTCAACAGAATTAACGCAAAGTTTTTAATAGGTATCAAAGGATTAAATGATTATTATTTGTCAACGGGTGAAACTATTAACAAAAGTCTGAAAGGGTGGAACCTACATCAAAGGTTGAAATTATTTTTAAAGTTTTTAAACGTCAAAATCACAACCCCGTCCCATAGGCCATAAGAAATGATGTCTTTAAACAAACTCAACTCAGTTATTTAATTGAATAATTGAACTAACCATTAATGAATGTGGTCTGAAACCATCAAACCTAATGGTTTGCTAAATTCCTCTATATATTCTCAGCCTGATACTACAGATAAACACGATAAACTAGATAATGCAAAATTATCCTAAATCTTTTTTTAAACATGTTATCTCGTTTTTGGTCAAAGCCCTGATTATGTCTTGTTTAAAGAAAGGAAAAGGGGATGGGTAGGGGGGATATAAAAATCATGTTTTTCTTTAAAAAGCTAAAACTGAAATATTGTAAGAATTACATAAAGAGAAAGAAAAGAGGAAGATAAATCGGTAAATATAAAAAATGTGGATGGAATGGTGATTCCCATAAAACTGTGTAATAGAAATACGACTATCACACTGAAGCTAAGATTTAAAAAAGTCCAATGAACATGGAACACATTTCTTGTTCTAAACAGCGTACTCTGTATACACAACATAACCTTTTTATATGCCTATTCTTAACTATACTATTAGAAAACTAATTTGATGCAACATAAATAACATATAACATCGCTCAAATGTCGTATTCCAGTTCCACATTTATAAAATCCCACGGGATTTCAGGAATGGATCAATCTTAAAAATTCTCTAAACTATTTCTTTATCTTCTCCATTTCTGTTTCAGATGCAAATACAGCTATCACGCATTCCTTAATGTCTTTGACCTGACTTTTATACTGACCATTCTATCTAGAACATTCTGCTATTTAGATTCTATTATTTAGTATCTATTATCTAGTATCTAGAATCTATAGTTTAGCATCTAGAATCTAGAATCTAGTATCTAGTATCTAGTATCTATAATCTAGTATGTCTAGTAACTAGTATTTAGTATCTAGTCTCTAGAGTTTAGCATCTAGAATCTAGTATCTAGTATTTAGTAACTAGTAGCTAGTATCTACTATTTAGAGTACAGAATCTAGAATTTAGTATCTAGAATCAAGTATATAGTATCTAGTATCTAGAATCTAGTATATAGTATCTAGTTTCTTTTATCTAGCATCTAGTATCTAGTATCTAGTATCTAGTATCTAGCATCTAGTATATAGTATCTAGTTTCTAGTATCTATTATCTAGTGTATAGTATCTATAGAATCTAGTATCTAGTATCTATTTAGTATCTGGTATCTAGTATCTAGTATTTAGTATCTAGAGTTTTGTATTTAGAGTTTTGTATCCAGAGTTAAGTATCTACAGTTTAGTTATAGTATCTAGCATCTTATATCTCTCTATCTAGTATTCAGCATTCAGCATACAGTATCCAGTATCTAGTATCTAGTATATCGTATATCTAATACTAGTATTTAGTATCCACTATCAAAAGTTATAAAAGTTGTACATTTATTTTTTTATTTGATTAATTAAAAATTTTAATTATTTTGTTCATTTAGAAGCTAAGAGCATGCAGGGGACCCTCCCCCCCTCATTAAATTACAATTCTGACTCTTCCTGCCTTCTAAGTTAACCCTGCGGGGGCTGATCATTCCTAAATCCTCCCAGCCCCCCTCCCGCCTCCCCCATTTGATTCCTTAATATCCAAACGATACCGCCTCTTTACTAATTAAAATTCATTCAACCCTCGGCCCCGTCCCATCCCCTTTAAATATTTTTTAACCCCTCCTATTCGACACTTCTTGCTGCAGGGGGCCATTGCCCCTCTACCCTTAAATCCCCCACTGGGATCTGAATTGAAGGGGGGGGGGCGCTCTCCAGATGTTGATTACACAATTATAATGAAACTGATCGACAAGCAGAAAACAATGAGTTTTAGATTGGAAAAAAAAATATTTTTAAAATCAAATGAATCAGGGTTGATTGCGTCATCCGGTTTTTTTTGTCGGCTAATTAAATGTCTCTTTAATTTTTAATTTTGTCATTTAAAATCTCTG